CTCCAGATGTAATTTAGGAATTGAGATGTCCTTCAAAATGGCGCACTGAGATTGATTTCCGGGTCACAGACAGGAGGAGGGAGGAGAGAGGAGGCACAAATTAGAGAAATGCTCAAGGCCCACAGGTCTCAAACTCATGTAGCAAATATATAAGGGTTCAAGTCCGACCTGTGGCCCTTTGCTGGATGTCACCCCCCCCCTTTCCTGTCTATCTCTCAAGCTGCACTGTCTAATAAAGGGAAAAAGGCCCCCAAAAAAATATATAAAAAACAAACAAACAACAACACAGCGTGTCAGGGTTGAGCCCACGCCTCGGAGCGGTTGGTGAGCAGTGGACCATCAGTATCAGCAGCCTTGGGGATTCACTGTTAGCACTATAAGCTATATGTGTCGGTGTTGGCCTTTTTACAGCTCTTTGTGAAAGCAGCATTGCCAGAAATTGGCATAGCCTCTAATTTTTTGTTTGGAAAGAGGCCAAGGCCATAATGCGCTCAGTTCCCAGTAGGCATTTCAAATGGTGTTGCATAGCAACTAATAATCCTTTTTGTCCAATCAAGAAGCTTTTTCTGCACTGTTTCCTAATCATTATTTATCCAAGGGAGAGCATAGCTCCTTCTCAGGAGCAGCTGCTTGATATGCACTTACAGTAGAGCTGTTCACACCTGGGACTACTTCTTCTCTAAGGTTATTGGTCAGTGGTCATCATGGTAGCAACTGGTAGCAACTGGTAGTTCAAGTCTTCTCCTGGCTCAGCTCAGAGTACGGGGCGGACCTTTGTAAGTGTGTATATTGAATCTTTACCCTGTTTAGGTGCTAAGATGGAGTGGAAGGAACAGGATGGATCGATGCTGAACCTCAGCCTCCACCAGCCCCGAGCTCACACAGTGCGAGCTGAGGACAGCTGTCCTGTGCAGGACTCCCCACCTCAGACCACAGGAGGCTTCGACAGTAGGAAAAAACCAAGTGCGTCCAGAAAATGTAGCAGTTCAATATGTGATACGCTTCCTCAGCTAAGTTAGAAGAACAATGAGAAGAGAGAGTTCCTTCTAGAAACAAGGTTGTCGTGGTCTCTTTTAGACATGATTGAACACTGAATGCACCATCGAGTATAGGATGATTCCAAAACAGTACCTGTGCCAAAAATGATGAAGCCATTTGAGAAGATTGTGAAGGATGAGCTCCTTCCCACAGTTTAAACCAAATTAGACCCGCTCCAATTTGCTTACAGGTCAGTGTTGATGATGCAACAGGTACACTTTAAATGTGATTTTGGCACACCTAGACAGCACTAAGACTAGTTTTTATTGATTTTTCCTCAGCTTGAAACCGTATGCAGCCTCCCATTTTAGCCGACAGGTTAAAGAGCATCCACAACATTGATCCTGGCCGGACACACTGGCTGACTTCCTAACCGAAAGGTCACAATGTGTGAAGGTCAGTGAGGTTTGATCAGATGTTCTTTTGTCCTCTCTAGGAATGTTCCTGGTGACTAATTTTGCCGCCGATTGAAAACAAATTAAAATTTAGACTATAGTCGGCTAGTCTAAGAGTAAGAAAACAGTCAGACTTAAACACAATGTAAAGAACACACAAACCACACACACACACACAGCCAGGCTTCAGTTACTCTTAGATACCCTGATATATCTTGATACACACATTTGACGGGGGGGCAGTTTGTTATATTATTGCCATTTAAATGTCAGCAACATATGGAATGCCGGACAATGCTGTGAATGATTAGGAAGAAAATGAGGACGCTGTTATGAGACAAAGAGAGAGATCAGTCTTGTGGCTGCTTCATTGTTGTGGCATAACTGATCAAACGTTGTTACAACTCAGGGAGCAGATTACCAAACACTGCAGTCAGTCAGCATATACAGCGAGGCCTTCTTAGATTTCAGGAACAATGTGGTGTTCATCTCAGGCTGTTGAGTGTGTGTAGCAGTGCAGATATGTGGCCACTGTAGCTGACCACAGGCTTACGATTGAGCTTCATGTGGACACTGGTTGTAAGAAAGCTCATCAGTGGATGTATTTTTATTGAAAGCTTTGAAGTTATGTATTAATGTTGATAATATATTTATGAAAATGTTGTATTCCTGTTTGATTGAAGCAGTCCTCACATTCTTGTTTGTTAGCTGGTACCTTCAAACACAGGAACAGATTACAGGTTATAGTCAACAATAAAGATATCACTTGAACCTGGATCTTTTTGGGGCATTTTGTCTACCCAAGTGTGAATTGAGACAAGTCCTCTATCTACATGTGTCCATGTCTTACTTCTAGGTGTGTCCCCCCGCCATGCAGTAATTGGAGCCCGACCCTTCTGCTCCCCTGAGTACAGCCTCAACTTCCACAAGTTAGGCTCAACATTACCTCACAGCACATTCGGGTAACTCCTCTACCGAACAGCCTTACTGTAATATAAGCTTGTCTAGCTCTTCAGTGCACCAGCACCTAATAGCTTATTGTGTAATTGGTTAATAATAAAGCCAGGTAGTAACAACAGTTAGCAGCAAACCGCAACATTCATTGTATTTGCAGTTTTGACAGAAATCTAAAATTATAATAATTATTTGCAAAATACCTGCACTGTACCCCCCTCGTGACTCCTAGCAACAAGGAAGTGTTCCGCTGCACTTCCTGTCTACGCTATTACACAGATTCAGTAAGTCACATAACAGATCAGTCCAGTTTTACATGATGTGATCATTATTTTGTAAAGAGCTGATTATTCAGTAAAAGAAAAAATATTACATAGTTGGGTGAAATAGTTTAATGGTGGAAACAAGGTGCTTAGTAATTCTGCAGCATAGATCTTCTTTTTAATGTGACGTCAGGTCACAACCTCCTCATAAATGTGGACCTGTGTTCCCAACCAAAATCTCAGTGGGTGTGAACTGATGGGTACCAACATTTGTGATCAAAATGTTCTTGTTTGTTTCCTAAAGCTGTGCTGTGAAAGCTGGAAGTTGCTGAATGGAGCTTTACAGGACAGGAGGTTAATCAACACAGTGTTTACTGAATAAACTCAGTCAGTCACTATAGAGTGCAGTTTATCCATCACATCTGTGCAGCTGTTAAAAAACTGCAAAAAAGAAAACTGCACATGTTGATTTTCATGCTATATATTCATATTTCCCATACCAGCACAAAATGTATTTCTATTTGCAGAAGTTGAATGTTTTCAAGGTACAAGTGAATGCAGCAATATGATGTGTTCATACGTTATGTAGTCATGTGGGGGCAAACTGAGTCAAAATATATCAGAGCCTGTTGGTGGATGTTTGTGTCCAAAGGGCCTCACAGTGCTGAGGGTCTTCCTCTCTACACTGTATCAGAGGAACCGGAGACATTTGTCCAGCAGATGGTGCCATTTCCATTTTTATCAGTGCAGAGGAGAAGAGCTGAAGCCAACTGCAAAACAGATTTTACACATGGGATGAGGGCTTGTGTTCTGTTTTTTAAATATTTGTATTTCTTTCAGAAGAATGTCCAATATCAAAGCAGATACCTCCATCCCTCTGCAGCCCTCTACCAATACATGGTGAGTTCACAGCTATTACTGCAAACATTACATGTACAGTGTGTATTACATTATACTGCATGATGGGCTTTATTTGATCATTTTATACTCAGCATTTCAGAACTGCCTCGACACAGCTACAATTTAATGGGTCTTTTTTTTAAGCTAAGCAGACGTTTAAATAGAGCAGGATAAAAGGTTAGGATGAGGGAATAAGATGTTTTCTGCCTTTACTGACAGCGTGCCGTACCTAGAGAAAAAGAGACTCCTGGACAGACAAGAGGAGATCCAGGAGGTGAAGCAGCTGGACAAGTGGAAGCCTGCTGTCTGCATCTTTACAGCAGTGCTGGAGGGCTTAGATGACAAAGCCAGCTGACGAATCATACAGCTACTATAATACTAACTGCACACTCTTATCTTCATCTGAACTCTATAAGAGATACACACTTTGGATGGATTTAAGACAAATAAGAGCAAAATGTATCTACCACATTGTCAAAGAGTCATCTGTCTATTTGTCTCTCTATTCCATTTTTCTTGGTGTCACTAAGGGTGGCTGTTCTAGCTTTTTGCTTGTATTTGTTTCTCTTCATCCTACAAGTGCTTGGATATCAGTTACTGTAAGACTGAGGGCCCTGTCACCCTTGGTGAGCGTCTGTAGTCCTAGTTTTTGCTCTCGTCAGGCCGACTGATCATGTTGAATCAGGCCATCGGTGAGAGAAATCGCTCTGATTGGCTGTGCAGCTTAAGTGCACCAGAAGAGAAACAGAAGTGAGCAAACGACTTCATCGAAAGGGCACGTATGAAAGGATCGTCTTGTTTTTCAGCTTTATCTCTGATCTGAACACGATATTTCTCGATTAGAAGCTGCTGTTTAACAATATCTGAGCGAGAGTGGGCAAACCTACGTCCACAGGGCTGCTTTTGCTTATATGTGCAGTCCTAGGTCTTCCAGTGTCCCACCTGCTGGTATGGAGAGGCAGGCATAGAACGTACGTGCAGTGTGCTCTAGTGTCACTTTTTGGCCAAGACACAGGCGACGTGAGGTGATGTAACACCTCTTGGCTCTTGATGCTGCTAGTCCGTTGATGTTGGTTTGGTGTGTCAGGGCCTTTACAGCGTCCAAACTTTGGAGGTTCAAAGTTTTAGCCACTCCAATAGCCACCGTTAACTTCTGAATGGTAGGTAAAAGTAATATACCTTCTCTATTTCCTTGGGGTAAGATACGTCTATATTATAGACACAACACGGTGTACAGTGTTGGGTTCTTATTTAAATGATAACATTTCATGTCATGTCATGTGATGAGTTTGAGCTGTAATTATTTCTAAATGTATTGGTTAATTATTATACTTAATTATTCACATGATTATTTCATAATGTCTACTTTTTCATTTTGGAGTTGCATAGTGACGGTGTTCTTCCAAACAGCAACAACTAAGTAACTTAATGCTTAATGTGAGTCATGGATGATTGTAAAGCTCTCCATATTCTGGGCAGGAATTAAGTGCATTTGACCATTTGGCAATGTCCTTGTAAAATTTGGCTGACTGTTGTAAACAGTTGGTGATTACTACAACTGTGCATGCAGCATATCCTAATTCTCATAATACTGCTAGTGTTACCAAAAGGGGTAATTTGTCCCCGACTGTAATAATTGTATAATTATTTTTAAACGATTTTCTTAATACTCATTTAGGTCAGTTCAGTACAATTCAAGTACCCCTTTAATAATATGCGGTGACAGCAATAGTTACAGCTGAGCCACCCTAAGTGCTGTGCTGGGGGTTTCTGTGATATGGACCGATCAATGTTGTGATAATGATTTAATCGATAAGCCCCATGGCCCTCAAGCCAACCAAATAAAATAGAATTACTGCCTCTATCTTGAACACTGTGCTGTTGCTCGTACTGTTACCTCTCTGGAGTCAGCAGTTCTGGCTGTATCAGCTGCTGCTATGGTAAAATGTTCCATGGCTTTTTAAATGCAATAAGGGCTTTCTGATAAAAGGCGTCAACCTTGAATGCTTCACATTGTTGTGTTAGTGAATGATGTGTGCCTTCCACTTTCTTTCTTTCTATTCTATGCATTCAAAGTGAAGGGATCTTTTCACTGTCCTAACACAAAACCCAGTGTCTGCCCTTCATAACCTTTACATGAGATGGAGCCAAAGTCCAGCAGTGGCTTAAAGGAACAGTGTGTAGCATTAACAGCTGTTTACTTTCCAGTCTTGAAGAAATGTTCAAACTTAAAACAATCTCTTTACTTACCAAGAGGTGTCTCAGGCAGTGGAAAGCAATGCCATTCTTCATCATCTTCATCATCGTTGCAGTTAATCATTGGATATTTTTTTGTTGTTACATAACAACTCCAAGACACAACAGCTCTAACGGGAAGTCTTCCCACAGACATCAGCCACCGAACATCCACTTACTTTTTAAAATATTTATCACCTCAGTGCTTTCATTAGGAGTTAAATTTTTATATGTAATTAATCCTCCGTATTTAAAATCATTTTTCATCTTTTTTTTTTATAAATAATGTTGTTGGGTAAACCTCCCCAGTCTATGTGTAAATGTTGGTATTGTGTGATAAAATCTCCATATATTAACTTAGAATATGAACCAGTCCTTTTTTTTCTCTTCTCTTTCTCCACATTAAAAGGTCTCCTATCCAGAGAGCATTCCTGCTGATGGCTGCAGATATATGTTTTTAACAAAAGCAATTTACACTCTCATGTTGGACTGAGGGCAGACTGGACGTTACAGTGACTCACTATCCCCTCCTGAGGTACAAAGTGGAAGTACAAGACGGGATGGGCCAAGGCTAGCTGGTTACCATGCTAACTTCAGCAGATATCTCAGCAACACAGTACATAGGCATCTTTGACATAACATCACAGTTGTTTTTTCTTCACATTATGTTGCTAATTTTAGTTAATTTTTGATTTTGAATGTTTTAAACTAAAATTATTACGTGTCCTTCCTTTAACACGTATAAAAAATAAAAATTCTCAAATACTGTATTAAATCCCAAGTCTCCTTCCCACCAGACATCAAAATTACAAACTAGTTAGCTAGCTTTGTTTCAGCCTAAGTCTTTTTGGATGCTTGCTACAGAAACTATACACAGTGTCTAACACAGAGGTTGACATTTTGAAACTTTGTGTTTTACTTACACAAATCCTAATACAATGATGTGCTCCTTGGCTTTGAACACTTTTGTGGGTAGAGGGTTAGCTATGCTACCATGTGCCGCCCATCCCCCGGCTATAACGCCTGTCTACAGTGACATTTGCTGTTTATCCCTGTGCCAGATCAGAATTTGTTAGTGCCATGAATGGACTTCTGCTGTGTGCTGTAGATATCTTTAAGGTAATCTTTTGTGATTCTTGACTGAGCATGCCATTGCTCTTAATGAATGTCAGAACGCTGAATTTCTTGCCACCCATAAGGTCACCCCCTTAAATGTCAACAGGCAGAGACAATGCAGGAGAGAAAAAGAAATTGAGAGTTTTTATTTTTTATTGAGCATGGAGAAGCGACGAAAGAAAGAAAGAAAGAAAGGAGAAAGAAAGAAAGAAAGAAAGAAAGAAAGAAAGAAAGAAAGAAAATGTATTTAAGATTTCAGCTAAAAATACAACTGTCTAACCTGTCCGAATCGCAGCCAGCCCAGTCCTCTCAAACTGGAATGTCAAAGATTTGATTTACCCAAAATGAGGCAGGACATTTTAAAGGGCATGTGATGTAACTCACCTATTTGAGAGCAAAACACAAAAGATTTTTCCTCCACCTTCTACGTCTGCCAATTAGGACTTAGGTTGTAAAGTTGCTATAAAGCAAAAATATAAAGCAAAAGTGAGGCACATGCACTGTATGTAGCACACTGGTGACAGTAACAACAGAAACACATAAATGGTTGAGACACATGCACACCCATTCCCCCCTGAAGATTTGCATGTAATTAGAGGTGCGAGGGTACAGTGGCAATCAAGTACAGAGCCTGGGCCGGCTAGATAAGCTAATATGCAACCACCTTGTTGCTTTCCCATTCACACCCCACCACCACAGGCACCACCAACTCCTGCTGGGAATGGAGATAGAAGGTGTTTTTGCATGTGATTATTTGTGTGTGTGTACATGTGTGTGTGTGTGCGCGTGCGCGCAGTATAGGGTTGGCTCCATATTATATTTTCAAGGCCAAAACATCAACAGCAGCTTTGAGGTTGAAGCTGCCATAGATGTTATTTCACGGTGGTATTCATGTGTTTGATCATTTTCAGTGCAAAATGGAGCTGGGAGCTATGTGTTTGTTTGTTGTTTTCCAGATGTGTGGAGGTTTTATGGAGTTTTAGCATCTTTTAAATTGTTCTGATCCCAGAGCGGAATCAGGGATCATGGATCGTTTTCTACCACTAAGTGCTAAAGCAGAGGGTGGCAAAAGTCAAAAGTCTCTTACTGGCAATCATTTCAAAATAATTAATAGATTACCTATTCCTCGACAAGGAAAGTTGTCAGTAGTTGCTGCTTCAACTGCAACAGTTCATCAATTAGTCGGTAAATTTAGTAGAAAATTACTGTATTTTTACAAGTCAGTTATTTCTAATATTTTACTGTATTGTTTTGGCACACCAGCTGCTGAAATGTTACTGTGTTGTTTTTTTTTGTTTTTTTACAGTGTATTAAACACAGCCACTGGGAATAAAGCCATCCAAAACAGAAAAGCAGGTGAATCACAATCAGCAAAGTGTTTGCATGCGGAGAGAATAAGCGACTCTAGGAGGTGGAGGCGCACGCAATTTCCCCACCCTGCCCATGGCAATTGTTCCAAAGCAAGAACTATTACCACAAATAACAGCATTTCTGCCTGCACATACAAGGAGTGGATGAAAACCATATTCAGTCTGTGGAAATTGATGAATTGAAATGCGGTCATTGAAACTGCATTGCACATATAGTGCTGACAGTGAGGGCTGAAAGCTGAGGAGAATATCTGTTTTATAGATGCTTCCATCGGCTGGTGTGTTTCTGCTGTCTCCCACATGAAGCTGTGATCAACAGGACCAACAGTGCTCCTTAATGACAAGCCTTGAATACAGAAACGCTGACGTGTTGCTTTGCCTGTCCAAGCTCATCAATATGATGAAGACTTAAGAAGAATACAATTAAATTCAAATAGAATACTTGTTCTTCCAAGCAAGTTAAGTAAATAGCTCAGTGACATATATTCTATTAGATTCCTTCGTTGTGACTGTACAATGCTGCAAGTGCAAAATTAATGAATGAGGTTCATTGACATTTTACTGAGCTTACTTCCTTTAAAAGTATTCATCACGCAATAACTTACTCAATAGTTGATAAGTATGTCACAGTGGTTACTAAGATAGATGGACAGGATATCTTTCAGTGGATTTCTTATATTAATGAAAGTCCCATTTGTTACAAATGTAAAACCTTTAATAGCTTTAACATTTTTAAAAGCAGCACTGATCAATACATTCAAATGCACTCTCACTGCCCTGGTTTCTAGCCATAAAAAAAAAGAAAATTGCTATAACTATTGTACACTACCCTACCCACCCAGCACCAATAGCAAACACAGTTAGCAACTAACTGGTGTTCACAGTGCAGCATTTAGCAACTAAATAACCTGATATTTCACTCAGGAAATGGTGGAGATTATAGTGACCTATTTTTTGTAATCTGATTACATAATCCCTATTACATGTAATCTACCCAACCCTGCCTAACAGTCAGCTGTGTTCTCTGCCCAGTGGGAAACCAGAGCCATGAATGTCTTCAAAGAACATCTTCATTCAGTCCCTAACTGCCTGTAGCCTGCGGGTAACAGCGGTGCAAACCTGCCCTGCTGCTCCACGCTTTCTATATGCTTTAACCACATGACCACCCATGCCGACCATATCCATTATGTCCCCTGACTTGTCTCAGCTCCAATTTGTTTCGCCATCCATCCGAGGCAATGTGTCAATACGTATCACCAAGACAAATGAGGTTTCTAGTATTCTGCGTTTCCATTTTCTGGGGCGCCTGTCACACATTTGACTGCAGGGAAAATGGAACTTCTGTAAATGAACTCCATTCTAGTCTAGATGGGGTAGCCTATCAATAAGGGCCACTGTCTACAATCAAACCTGGGAAGTTGCAGAGCAGGCCCCCCCAATACCTCTGATTTTATTATTTCCCGCAT